GATTTCTAATGCTATGTATTAATTTAGTCATTCTACGCTGAATGTTTTCCAACGAATTTATATCCATTCTGTAATATGGAGACCAGAACTGAGCTGCATAATCTAGGTGAGGCCTTACTAATGATGTATAAAGCTGCAGTATAACCTATGGACTTCTGTTGCTTACACTTCTTGATATAAACCCCAATAATCTATTTGCCTTATTACGTACGCTTGGGCATTGCTGTCTTGGTTTAAGGTTGCTGCTCACCATAACCCCTAAGTCCTTTTCGCAATCTGTGTGGCTAAGTTCTACATTATTTAACTTACAAGTGCCAGGGTTATGGACACTCCCGAGCTTCAGAACCTTGCATTTTTCTACACTGAACTGCATCTGCCACTTTTCTGACCAAGAATAGTTTGTCTAAATCCTCCTGAAGTTCCCTAATATCTACGTTTGAATCAATTATCCTACCTATCTTTGTGTCATCGGCGAATTTGCTCATATCACTAGTAATACCCTCATCAAGGTCATTGATATATATTATAAACAACAACAGGCCTAAGACTGATCCCTGTGGTACGCCACTTGTTACAGATCCCCACTCAGATTGAACCCCATTTAAGCATACTCTCTGCTTCCTATTAGTGAGCCATGACTCGATCCATGACAGCACTTTTCCCCAAATACCATGAGCTGCCACTTTTTTTAACAGTCTCTGGTGCGGTACTCTATCAAAAGCCTTACTAAAATCTAAATAAACAATATCGTATTCTTTATCATGATCAACAGCCTCAAAAGCCTTACTGAAGAAGGTTAATAAATTAGTTAGGCAGGAACGGCCCCTCGTGAATCCATGCTGAGTATCATTAATCAAGCTGTGCTTATCCAGATGGCTTCTTATATTATCAGCTATAATTGACTAGTAATTTGCCTACAATTGAGGTTAGGCTTATTGGGCGGTAATTTGACGGTAACGACTTGTCCCCTGCTTTAAAAATAGGAATTACATTAGCCATCTTCCACATATCAGACACTACACCTGTTTGAAGAGAAATATTAAAAATATTAGTCAATGGTTCACAAAGTTCCATTTTACACTCTTTAAGAACCCTTGAAAAAATTTCATCAGGGCCCGGGGATTTATTTGTTTGATAACCAATTCGGTAGTGACTGTGATATTGCATAATTTATCATCATCAGGCCCACTATAAAAATTAATTACTGGGATATTGTTAGTGTCTTCCTGAGTGAAAACCGAGAGAAAATAATTAAGAATAGAGCACATTTCATTCTCCTTGTCAGTGAGATGCCCAGAGTTATTTTAAGGGGACCTATCTTATCTCTAACTTTTGTTCTATAAACCTGGAAAAAACTTTTTGGGTTAGTTTTCGAATCCCTAGCAACTTTAATTTCATAGTCCCGTTTAGCTTTTCTTATCCCCTTTTTAACATCCCTCTTAATGTCAATAAACTGATTCATAAGATGACCCTCACCTCTTTTGATGCGCCTATAAATTCCTTTTTTCTGTCCTAAAAGATATCTGAGCCTATTATTCATCCATCTGGGGTCATTTCTATTCGATCTAATTTCCTTATACGGGATAAATGTCCTTCGGGCAGCATGTATTGTGTTAAGAAAGCTGTTATACTGATAGCTCTCTTCGTTACCCCAGTCCACAGATAAGTGTTCTCTAAGCCCATTGTAATTTGCTAAGCGAAAATCTGGGACCAGTACTGAATTATCCCTACTGTCATACTTCCATTCAATGCTCAAGGTAATTGATTTGTGATCGCTTGTGCCGAGTTCCTCTGTAATTTCTAAATTATTAACAAGAGTTTCCTTGTTTGCCAAAACCAAGTCAAGAAGGTTATTTCCCCTTGTAGGCTGTATCACAAACTGCTTCAAAAAACAATCCTGAACTACTTCTAAGAAGTTGTTTGATTCTAAATTCCCAGTCAAGAAATTCCAATCAATATGACTAAAGTTAAAGTCTCCTAGAATTACTACATTATCGTGCCTTGTGGCATTAACAACTTCCTCCCATAGTAGTCTCCCTTGGTCCCTATCTAAGTTTGGGGGATGGTATATCACACTTAAAATAAATTTTTCATGTCCCTCTGAAAATTCTATCCAAACAGAATGTGTGTGTGTTTACTTCAGACTTAATACCCGTTTTTATGCAACAGTTCAACCGATCTCGGACATACAGTGCCACCCCACCCCCCTTCCCGATACTTCTGTCTACTTTGAACAATTTAAATCCCTGTATGTGACATTCAGCAGGCATGTCCCGATTTTTCGTATTGAACCACGTCTCAGTTAAGGCAAATACATCGATGTTACCTGCACTAGCAACTAGTCTCAACTCGTCCATCTTATTCCTAGCACTACGACTATTTGTGTAATGTATATTTAAGGACCCTCCTTTCTCTTTACCCTTCCTGCTCCTTTCTGTTATTCCACTAAACCTATTACTGTCCTTGTCACCTAGTGCCACTGGCTTTCCAATATCCACCTCGTTTTGCCTATTACTAGTTCTCCAAGTACTCATATTATTACACTGGGACTTCACTGTTTTCCCGCCAAAACACATACCACTAACTATTCCTAGTTTAAAGACCTAACAGCTCCCTCCACTGCATTGGTCAGTGCTCCCACCCCAAACCTAGATAAGTGAACCCCATCCCTGGCATACATGTCATTTCTGCCATAGAAGAGGTCCCAGTTGTCAATGAATGTTACTGCATTTTCCTTACAGTATTTGTCCAGCCAGCAATTGACACCAATTGCCCTGGACAACCATTCATTTCCAACTCCTCTCCTTGGCAAAATACCACATATGACAGGGTTCGCACCCTTCCTCCTAATTATCTCTATTGCTAACCTATACCTGCTAATCAGGTCCTCACTCCTATGTCTGCCAACATCGTTGCCTCTAGCACTCAGACAGATAATAGGATTTCTCCCATTACCTCTCACATTGTCATCCAGACGGCTAACAATATCCTTCATCCCAGCCCCAAGAAAACACACACACTGCCTCCTACTCCTATCCTTCAAGCAGAATGCCCTATCCATGTACCTAATCTGGCTATCCCCAACAACAATGTTTTTACCTTCCTTGCTGACGTCCATCGTGATGTTCCCAGTAGTCGACTCACATTCGTTAGGTAGCACTACACCTTCACTTGTGGAATTCATCAAGACGTTCTCGATGGTCTTCGTTGGTGTTTCTAGGGATGTCTCACTCACGTCTGCCAATGCTTCCTTGGTGCTCGTTGTGGCATTCCCAGTAGAACACCCACATTCATCAGGTAGCACCGAAAATGGGTTGAAAGTTTCCACAGTAGTCTTCTGGTTTCTCGTTGTTTCTGCCTCTCCAACAGTCTTCTTGATCCTCGGCTTGGTTCCATGTTGCCTGGCCACTGACCAAGTTCCCCTCTTAACCTGGGGACTCACAACAGGAGGATTACTACTAATCCTCTTGTTCTCCTCCGTTAATCGCCGTATCTCCAGCTTAGCAGCCCTAAGGTCTTCTTTCAGCTGCTGGTAAAGTTGCTCAAGAGAGGGCATCCTGGTTCAGATTCACAGACGCACAAACAGGTCTTCACAGAGCTAAGTACACGTCGCCACGTACTATTTGAGCAGTACATTTGAACATATTATTAGGTACTTAATCATAATCAAAGAAAGTGCTAAACCAACAAGGGTCATACAGCTATGGGTCACATAGCATCAGGGGAATGGGTGACATTCAGGTTCAGTCCAAATGAGAGAAGAAGAGTTCCTTGGATCAACACTCCCTTACCAGTATCCAGGCACTTCCCTCGAGGGGCAGTTTCATACTAGACAATTGCTAAACTCGAAAGGGTCATACAGCACTTTTTATTATTACATTCAAGAGGGAAGCACTCAACCCAGAGGGGGTAAGATTATTATTAATATAATCAAAAAGAAAGAGGGGGTAAGAGCATGTCTTAGAAATGAGAGGCAACTAGGTTTGATCCAAGGGTCAGGTCCACTTCCTTGGATCTAGGAGCCCCTACACCAAGAAACCTTCTTTCAATTATTATAATCATGTAGAGCACTAAACCCATAGGGATTATACAGCACCTGTAGGGGAGGGGATTGAAGGTATTCAGGCTCATTTCAGGGAACTGAAGCACAGATCTAATTCTCTGGATCAAGAGCTCTCATCAGCATCAAGGAACCTCCCTTGAGGGGTCCCTCAGGGGATACAATGCACCAGGTTAGGGAAAAACAGGAGTATACAAGTGTCTGTGCACTACTCGGCAATAGCATCATAGTCAAGTTTTCCGGTCGTACTTAATTCAGGCTAGACAGTCTCTCATGGTATTGGAAACCTTATTGCAGTTCATGGAGTCATTCTAGCAGGCAAATTCCTCAACCATAATGTAGCTGTCCATATACAATTTACACAAACAAGCAGAGGATCACTTGTTTGTCCTTAATCATCAGTCAGCCCTTTACCAATAGGGAAAAATTAGCCAAAGTTTTCTCTTGTGTACGACTTTGAGCAGCTCTAATGTTAACTTCTTTAGTTGTGATGAATGGTTTTGAAAACCGACTAGTTGAAGAATTGAGACACTTGTGTAATATATGGGAATCTTTATTGAAGAAACGTTTCACCACACAGTGGCTTCATCAGTCTTATACAAAGCAGGGAGGAATAAGGAGAGGAGGAGTTTGAGGTAATCAGTCCCTCAGCCTAGAGTCAACGTGTTCAGTCCATCAGTCTTGTAGAAAGTACTTTCTACAAGATTAATGGACTGAACACATCGACTCCAGGCTGAGGGACTGATTACCTCAAACTCCTCCTCTCCTTATTCCTCCCTGCTTTGTATAAAACTGAAGTCACTGTGGTAAAACGTTTTTTCAATAAAGATTCCCATATATTGCACAAGTGTCTCTATCCTTCAACTTTAGTTATAATCTTTCCATGTATAGTGTTAAATCCACTCAAAGTATGTTCGTCTTAAAAGATAATTAAAAATAGTTCAAATAATGTATATTTACTTAAATATTAAAACCTCTTCGTGAGATAATTTACAACTTGCATCTTTTTCAAAAAGATATGACAAGCAATACAGATATGAACAGCTATATACAAATGTGACCCCAGATAGTGAAAATAGCTAGTGTTTTAACTGAATTTCCTCTTGAAATTTAGCATGACCAAGTATACAGAATAAAATACTGAACTTTACAATTCAATCAATTTATATATTAAACCTAATTATATCCAGCAACATCAGAATTCATATATTTGACTGATAAAATGCACATATGCCAAAACAGTGAATGTAAATTAAAACAATTACAGTATAAATATTAAACAGGTACAGTATAAAGCTTAAGAGGTCTTAGGGCAAAACAGATAACACAAGAGTTCATGACAAAAAAAAAAAAAATGATGATGATCATGTTCTGAATAACTCCAATGGTGAAAAATGTCCCATACAACTCTCATTGATAATATGGCTGACAAAAAGTTAACTTTTTTATTTAACTTCATGCAACTATCTTAAATCAACAAATACTTTTTAAAAATTAATAGGTTTGCCAAAATACGCTGCTAAGTTGGCTTCCCTGAATGCTTCCGAACATGTTGGATGGGCGTGACAAACTCTAGCAACATCTTCACAGCTCGCTCCATATTCCATGGCAAGGGCAGCTTCATTGATAATTTCCCCTGCACCTGGTCCAATGATGTGTGCACCAAGCAAGCGGTCTGTGTCTTTATCACCCAGAATCTTCACAAGGCCATCTGTGTCGTTGTTGCACTTGGCACGTGAGTTTGCTGCAAAGGGGAATTTTCCAACAGCATATTCCACGCCCTATTGTAAAAACAAAAAAGAAAGGAATATTTAACAATTACAAGAAAATATTCTTATTCATAATGCTATTTCAAAACATGATGGAAGGACTATTGGTCAACTATGAACACTTCATAGAATCCTATTTGAATAGCTTGAATCAGAACTGACTTTTCATAAAACACCTATTGTCACCATGCCTTGGTGGGTGATGTCAATTGAGGTTAAAAATATTAAGTGCTGTATAAACACAAATACGTATACTAGTCTGACCATACCCCGGCCGGGATTGAACCCGCGGTCAGTCTCTCTCAAAACTCCAGCCCGTCGCATTAGCCACTAGACCAGCTGGTCTAGTGGCTAACGCGACGGGCTGGAGTTTTGAGACTCTCTGACCGCGGGTTCAATCCCGGCCGGGGTATGGTTTGTTTGCAATCGTGTCATTACGATTTCGTGAGTCATACTAATCTGTATATTTTGTAACTACCTCATTTCATTCTGGTATATAAAAAGGTACAGATATGACTTCTTTAACATTTAGGAATACAGCTACAATGTTTATTACCTCAGCTTTCAGATCTTCTTCAGTTTTTCCAACCCATGCCACTTCTGGATGAGTATAAACAACAGAAGGGACACAATTGTAATCAATATGAACTGGGCCACCTGCAATACCCTCCACACAAACTATACCCTCATCTTCTGCCTTGTGGGCCAGCATAGGTCCATGGATACAATCGCCAATGGCATGGATGCTGCAAAACAAAATAATCAATTTATTAAACAATTACATGCATCTTATGTTCAGAACCAGAAGTGGTGGTATTTATGAAGATGAAAGGCAAAGGTAAAGATGTGTTTCTGTATTAAAAGTCACATTAGTAGGTTTCCAGCCACCTTATAGTAAAATTTTGATTAATTTTTGAATGCACAATATTTTGAATTCTGTATGCTAATGCTTGGGATTAGAAGCATTTACAATGTTCTAAATTTAACACTGGATACAGAGTTTCTCGCATTTCAAATTTCGATTTCTTTACAGGTTGCTTTTGTTGTAAAATAAGGGTTAATAAAAAAAATGTACAACAGGATATATAAAATAATTAAATATAGTAGAAACATAAGAGGAAATTAACTAAATATTTTTCAAGTTATAAATTCCATTGACAATATCATGGGGTATTCTGGAAAAAACAAAATAGAAAACAAATTTAAGACAAGAAATCGGCAAAATTTAAAAAAGCCTGTATTGTAATAAAAAAAATCACAATAGATGAAGTCAAGCCAAATAAAGTACAATAGAATTCATTTATTCTAAGCTTCACGGTGCAATACAATTTTCATGAGTTCAAGTCTCTTCCACTTTGTGATCTGGTAACTTATAATAATGGCTTACATTTGAATGTACTGTACATAACTACATCTTAAAACAATCAAATAACTTTGAAAAACAATGTACCCTGTAATTTGTACAGGATTTGTGCTGTTCTTTCTCAATGGTTTAAATTGCCACAAACGTGCATACATACACACTATAGTATTACTGGGAGGGGGTAACTGTAGAAAAACATTCCTTTCTTATGCCTTCACTCATAAATAGCATCACTTGCTCTCAAAAAGGTGTGTTGCACGAGAATGGGAGTGTTGCTGTTGTGTATTCTACTGCACCAACGTGAAGACAACTTGTACACAATGTAAGCTATGAATCTGCTCAAAAGGAGAAATGGATATGACTTGAAATAGGACTCAAATTGAGCAAAATCGCCGATGAATAAATTGCGTCCAGACTACTAACTTTGCACCTGCATAATCAAGCAAGTTTTCCATCAAATTTTGCACTTTTGGCATCATTACCTTCAGGAAAAGATTCTCAACCAATTGAGATCTTTTTTTTAAAGTGGACACAAAGTAATATTAATTTCTAAGGTCTGAACAGTGAAAGGGTTAAGTCAGAAGAATGGGTCTGGAAGCAGCATATAACAATGCATGGAAATATCAAAAAACCAAATATAACCATATCTAAATGATGATCAAAGGCATTATGAATGCTTAGTACTGAGGCAGATAGGCATGAGAGTAAAACGACCAACAGAAGGAATACCAGATACAATAAGCCAAACAAGTTATGGCAAAAAGGCATTACGATGATATATACCAAATGCAAAGATAAAAGATTCAGACAAATATTAAATGTCCCCAGTTTGTAGATGATCCACTTCAAGACCAAAATATTTTATTCCAAGAAAAGAAATCTTACAGAATCAAATGAATTTCTATAACACTGGTTATCTCCCACCAAAACAGGAAAAAGACATTCATTATCATGATTCATGAACTCAAAGGAAAATATTAAAAAAAAAAAAAAAAATAAGTAAAATAATAATGAAACTTACTTAGGAATCACAGTCTGAAAACGTGAATTAACTGGAATTCTTCCCTTTGCATCCTTCTCTATCCCAAGTTCTTCCAAACCAAGATTGTTAGTGTAGGGACGGCGACCAACACAAACCAGTAGTGTATCACAATCCAAATCTTCTTTCTGAAATGCAGTATCATTCATTTTTCATAAAACAGCAGAAAAAGAAGCCTAGTCCTTTCTTCACTCATACACTGAACTCCTTTGTTCTTTGTTCCCTTTAAATATGAAGAAAGTTTAGAACCTCAAAATCATTCAACCTGTAAAACAGGTTATGTGATTTTTTTTTTTTAACACATCAGCCATTTCCCACCGAGGCAGGATGACCCAAAACAGAAAGAAAAGATTTTCATCATTCAACACTTTCACCATCACTCATACATAATCACTGCCTTTGCAAAGACACTCAGATACGACACCTTAGAAGTCCCTCCAAACTGCCAATATCCCAAATTCCTCCTTTAAAGTGCAGGCATCATACTTCCCATTTCCAGGACTCAAGTCCGGCTAACCGGTTCCCTGAATCCCTTTACAAAATATTACCCTGCTCACACTCCAACAGCTCATCAGGTCCCAAAAATCATTTGTCTCCATTCACTCCTATCTAACACGCTCACGCACACTGGAAGTGAAATTTCTGTGCATCAAATTGTGAAACCAAAGCATTTCCATCCTCCCAATTCCAAATTTATATACCTATGTAAGAGTTAAGGAGGGTGTTCAGTAATGTCATGAACTGGATTAAAAAATGTATGAAAATACACCCAAAACAATGATAAAGAAATCTGCACATAAAACTGCCTATTATATACAGCTTGAGTAGTAAGACTCCAAAAGACTAAAAAAGTAAGTCCTAATCTAAGTAAATTTTCATTTGAATGCAAAAAGGTGTACATGTCACCTCTTCAATCTTTTATTTTTATATACAGTAGTCCCCTGTATCTGCAAGTGATACGTTCCAAGACCTACCACGGATGCCCAAAACCATGGATAGTAATGAACCCTATAAACACTGGCTGACTGACCGACCTACTGATTGACTGACTGATCTGTCTGACCTACTGACTGTTGACTGTTGGCAGTGCCACTATGTGCCCGTTTGCTGCCAAATCCAATTTACAATGTATTATTTTTTATTCATTTATTGCTGACCACTTTCAATGAAACTTTATATGATCATGTTTTATGAACTCTTATTCAAACAAAAAAAAATTAATGAAATCTGACGATAAAAAATGAAATCACCAACTGCAACCTCCTTAATATTTCTCGACCTAGGAAAACCATGGAAACCAAATCTGCAGCTACAGGGGTTCTACTGTACTTTAAGTTAAAAAATGGACAAAATTTTAGAAGCTAAAAATAAAAAAATGTGATAGCAATGAACAGTAAACATTAAACTACTTTTAACTGTAAAATTGTTAATTTGGAAAAGTTCTCCATTGCAAATATCAAATACAGATAATCAGCTTGAAACTATTTCCTCTGTAAATTTTAGAGACGTATACTGCTATATAATGGTACGTACCTTTCCATCTTTTACAGACTCCACAGACACGGTGATCTTTTCACCTTCCTTAGAGGCACTGACAACTTTTGTACTCAGTTTGAACTTTATGCCTTGCTTTGTAAGGATTCTCTGGAAATTCTTTGAGATTTCTTCATCAATTCCTACACCACCAATTGAGTTCAAAAACTCCACTGCAATCACTTGTGCACCCAGTCTAGACCATACAGATCCCTAAAACCAAGATAGATTGTTGTGAAAATCATTAACATCTCTTCACTGACTATTTTTTATAGGAACATCAGCACATTTTAGTTGGGTTAAACACTGGCACAAGACAATTTTAACTTTACAACTTTTAGGAAAGCTATTTTTTAATTCAGAATGTCATAAAACCTCCTGTGTATTAAATAAAGTTGCAATACAAAGATTAATACAGCTTACTCAGGGGTCTCCTGAAAGAAGAACAGATAAACTATAGTAAGGGCAACAAAAAATTATGAAGACAGACCTGATCAATCACATGACAGTCGGTAAGAGGCAGATTTATATAAAACTATCATGGACTAGTTATGCCAATGTGGTCAAGAACAAATAAGAATTGAAAAAGAGGACTACCTTCAAGATGAACAGTAAGTTTGATAAGTTCCATTATACACCTCATACTTATCTTGACAGTGATAGCCAAAAGATTACAAAGCCACATAAAAGATTGTGACTAAGCCTCCAAATTCAGTTAGCTAATCACAATAATAGAGTATGTTGCACAAGGAACTGGGATGAAAAAGAGAATTGCAAAATAATCATAAGTAAATAAAGAAAACTAAATAGGGCCAAAACAGTTATTTTAGGACAAGGCGAGATAAAAAAAAAACACTACATGAAAAGCCAAAAAGAGGAAAAAAAAAATCAATCCTGACAACACTATTTTTACATGATTTTAATAATAAATAAGACATAAAAAGTTGCATGCAAATCAGAATAAACAAGAAATGCATAAAAAATATTGGCTAAAAAAAAAAAAAGGAGTGAGAAGATAATAAAGAAAGACTATGGCCATATCATTAAGTAAAACTTTTCGGTACAAATAATTATAAAGAAACTGCCAAAAAGCTTAATGAAAGATATGTGACAAAAACAGTTTCCCACTGAATAATAGGACCAAACCCACCCAATAAATGCCTAATCACAGGAAAAAGAAAAATGAAACAAACCAAATTAAGAAAACAGCAAGAATGAACTACTTACTAGCTCCAAACCAATGACTCCAGCACCAATCACAATCATTTTTTCAGGAACCTTTTTCAGCTTTAGTGCACCAGTTGACGACACTATAACGTCTTCATCAATTTCAATACCAGGAAATGGAGTAACTTCTGATCCAGTGGCAATGAGAATGTTCTTGGCTTTTACAATATCATTTGTACCATCTTCTTGCAAAACTGTCACTTCATTAGGGCTAGTGATCTTACCATGACCCTGTATGAGAAAAAAAAATTAAAATACAAAAGTAAAAACTGAAAAATTAAGTAAAAATTAAAACAGTGGAAAATGATCTGGGCAGGATTAAATTTAAGAGCTAGGATGATAAATTTTCAGTGCTTTAAACTGCTCTATTGCACATGGTGGGTCAACTTCCTGAGACTATTATAACAACTAAACACCAAAGACATTCTTACAGATGTTGGATTCCCTTTCCCTAAAGTCTAACCTAATAATTTACACCTTGTGTTACATAAACTAAAACTGGTAAAACATGGAAAGGGGTGGTAAAAAAGTACAGGAAACTTTAAATAGTAATTTAACAGATAAGAAAAATAAACCTCAGAACATACCTCCAACACGTGGAAACTAGTATACTAGTATACCAAACCTTAGGATTAAACAAATACCTGTAAATGAAGTAATTTGACTTGTTGGAGGATGGGGAAGAAAATCTTGAAGATAAACAGGAGTTACACGAGTAATTCAGTGTTTTTGCAGATTTTTTCACAGAAAATTGGTCTGTAGAGGGTTTTAGAGCAAGCAATGATGCTTTATTGTTAAGTGAATAAAATACTGCAGGGTAAATCAAATCAGTGATGCACATATTACAAAGAACTTGTGAATTAATGCCAAGTCAGCATCAAGTTCAACACAAGAACAGACTTTCACCTCAGCCTATTAGAGCCACATCAATCCTCTCCACATACTTCCATGTCAGCAAGTAACAACTAAAAAGTAAGGCAAGATAAACTGTAGCCATTTCAACGTAGTAAAATAATTAAAAATTAAAAAAAAAAAAAAAAAATAAATCTGGAGGTGTCAAACTTTACCCAATTGTTTCTTTATGTTCCTCACTTTACAAAAAGCTATTTTTCATAAGGCACAGATTTTCAGGAGCATAACCCCAGCATTATGAGTGGTTTTACTGTGGAGTACAATAGAAATTCAGAATTTAAAAATTATCTTAACTATTATTATTTCATCCAACTTACAACACAGAACAAATTACATTAACACTAACCCTGAGACCAAGGACCTTATTATTCTTGAAGAGGTGAACAATGCCTCCAGTGAGAGCTGTCACAGCTTTATCCTTAGCTCCCATAAGTTTCTCCAAGTTTAGTTTTACATTATCAACCTGTAAAATGAGAAAAATTAAACCCCTAAAAATATTATGAATCATAATTGCCTCAAACTTTGACATGGATTATAAATTTACAATACTGAGCACATTTCATATCAGAGAAGTTATTATGAATCGTGCATGAAATTTATTTCTAGAACCACTGCTAACCTTGAAAAGTCTATTAATCTGAGTTAACAGCTCTGGTAGAAATATTATTGCCTAAGTACCAAGGTTTGAAGTTAGTCCAAATCAGTAATGCAGAATTATGATGGCAGCTTTGAGAGGACTTGAGCCAGAAAATGCCTCTGCCATACTAGTGTGGGATTTGCCTGTAAAAGCCTGCACCTGTGGTCACAGTGGGGCCCATGCTAACAATCCTATGGTGTTTAGAAATATACCCAGTTTGATGAATCTTGTTAGGCCATCATGGACCAGTGGTTAGGCACTTTGGCCTGTGAGTTTTAGGAATCGCCTGTATGGGTGCAAGCCCCACCTGATCTTTGTATCATTTATTATAACATAACTTCATGCAGTCGAGGGTTGAGATAAGGAATATATAAACTAGGTAATTTATTCTCACTGATGTATACAAAACTATTTGATATGCAATTTAATAAATTTTCTATTTTTTTAAATGGTATAGTTCCTGTTTAGCATCTCTCACATGTAAATAGATATGATATTTAGAAAGGGCAAAATATGCAAGCTGTTTATTTTTTAATGGAAATTAAATGAATACAAATAAATGTTCAAGAATCTAGGTAGTAGGTTGGTAGACAGCAACTGCCCATGGAGGTACTACCATCCTGCCAAGTGAGTGTAAAACAGAAGCCTGTACTTGTTTTTACATGATGGTAGGATAAACCATACCCCCGGCCGGGATTGAACCCGCGGTCATAGAGTCTCATAGTCTCAGTCTAAAAACTTGCATTTGTGGTCACAGAGGTGCCTGTGCTAACCTTCCTATGGTGTAGAAATATACCTAGTTGGATGAATCTTATTGTGGCTAGCTGGTCTAGTGGCTAACGCAACGGGCTGGAGTTTTGAGACTATGACCGCGGGTTCAATCCCGGCCGGGGGTATGGTTTGTTTGCAATCGTGTCATTACGATTTCTTGAGTCATGATGGTAGGATTGCTGGTGTCTTTTCTGTCTCATAAACATGCAAGATTTCAGGTACATCTTGCTACTTCTACTTACACTTAGGTCACACTACACATGCATGTACAAGCATATATATACACACACCCCTCTGGGTTTTCTTCTATTTTCTTACTAGTTCTTGTTCTTGTTTATTTACTCCTATCTCCATGGGGAAGTGGAACAGAATTCTTCCTCCGTAAGCCATGAGTGTTGTAAGAGGCAACTAAAATGCCAGGGGCATTCTTCTTCAGTAGGAAATTATAGAAGACTTCTGACCAATTGATGATTTGGTAATATCAGATCACTGGCATTCATCTGTAATACTGTACTGTATTTCAGAACATCAGAAATAATTTATCTCCCATATAAGTATCTCACCTCAATTCCACGTTCAAGAAAATCTTTGCTTTTTGCCATGTGATAGTAATGGGAGTTATTGAGAAGGGCCTTTGAAGGAATACAGCCAACGTTGAGGCACGTTCCACCATACGTAGAATTCTTCTCCACACAAACTGTCTGTTGGTGAAAATCAATTCTGAAAATGAAATGCATTAAATGGCTCTTCATTTCATGCAATTAAATTCTTGTTATACATGTAATTTAAAATACATGTATACTGTACTATCGTCTTGAGAGCATTCAACATATTGTACAACAAAAATGTCTCGCACAAAAATAAAATTAATACTTCGAGTTCATGTCTGGTACAGTACTGTATTATACAAGTACATACAGTGGACCCCCGCATAACGATATTATTTCAATCCAGAAGTCTGTTTGGGTGCCGTTATAGACCGAATTTGTTCCCATAAGAAATATTGTGAATTAGATTAGTCCATTTCAGACCCCTAAAAATACACCTACAAAAGCACTTACAAAAATAAACTTACATAATTGGTCGAGTTGGGAGGTGACCGTTATCCGGGGGTCCACTGTATATGATATATAATATACATATATGTGTAGCTATTTTCCTATCTATACTTTTGAACTAGCTAAAAGTGCTGGGCATATTATGGGACAACCTAATACAAAATATTGTACATTTCAATGTGAATTAATTTACTTTAATGTACTGTTGGTATTTACATTATAACACCTAGCATAACCATCAAAAAAAAAGGTCCCTGTTTACAAAGAATACATAAGGATTACAGCGCATGAGATTTACAGTGACCAGGATAAATGCTTTACTTCCACTTCCATACAAGTAAATTGGTATGGTATACAGGAAATATATACTGTACATGTATAAATGCCCATGTCTCAATACTAAAGACCCACAGTTTTTTGTCAAGGTGTTCCCTAGCCAACAGTAAGATTGTGTTCATTCAATCATCTATCCAGTTACTGACCAGATCAAATGTTGCTTAAATCATCTTTATACAGCACCACCATGAAATCTTATGGCTACAGAACATACTGACAACGCTATAACAAAAACTAAGTGCACCAGTACTACACACACACAATTTTAAAAAAATTAAGTTTCCTTACTTTCATGCCAAGCTGTGCAGCCTTAATTGCTGCCACATAGCCTCCAGGACCAGAGCCAATCACCACCAAATCGGCCTCATGAGATGCATGACGATGTTGGCTAACAGAAGCTAACCCACTTGTGGCTGCTGGGCTCTGGGCAAGACGAGCCTGTTGAGTGGGGAAAGCTGTGATATAGTCTACTGTAATTTAATTTGAAACGAATTGCATAAATAGCAGAACAAACACAAGCACTAACAGACAAGACACATGAACTGATTGTGAAAAAAACATTGAAAGCATTGAACAAGAGAATGAAATCTGAGAGTTGCAACATAAAGAGATTTTGACTGGAAAATCCTTCAACTGAAAATATTAAAAAATTTACACATTATTTTAACTTTAAAATACATACATAAATGAGTAAATGCTAAAAACAGCTGTTCATATTGTTATGCCAAAATTTAGGTGTCAGCCCCAAATAAGGTGACCTGTATCTCTGTGGTAAATTAATATTTAACAAATAAATTTTTACAATTGCCTTACATAGAAATATATTCTGAGGTATGATAACTGCTCTTACCCTATAAATTCAACTGTGTAAAAATAAAATAAAGCTAGGATAACCCAATAAAGTCAACAGCAGTTGGATATGCTGAATGTTGAAGACAGAGTAAAACAACTGAAGCTAAATCATGTTTATAAAATTGCTCACAAACAGTGTCCAGAATATCTTGCTGTCAATTTTGTCAAGGTTGGGAACCAAAGCAATCATAGTACTAGGGGAAGAGAGCACAACTTTGTAGTACCCACAGTCATTGGCCAGGCTTCAAACACCTTTTATTGTACAGCAATAAAGGAATGGAACAGACTACCCACACATGTCAAAGCCAGTCATAGCATGAACCAGTTCAAGAAGAGTGCCAAAAGGTGTCTGATGAATGTAGCTACAGAAAGGGAGGGGAATGATTTTCTATTTTTTAGCTAACATGCGTGTAAATTTTGCCTTATTCCTAGTAATGACCCTCATATTGTGAATAGTCTTGGTGACCCTCGTGTAGTGGATGGTCTTTTTAGTATGATAAGAAGATATCTTCATTATAGAATAATAAGAAAATATAACCTTTATATTATAATAATAAGGTAAAAGGACCCCAATGGAAATAAGTCACTCTGTCTGACTTTTTTTGGTTATCCTAGGTTCTCTACACATATGCTGCTATGTATGATAATTCTATGTAACTGTATTTGTGTATACCTGAATAAACTTACTTACTTACACTATCAACCAAAGGAACCCAGGTTAGACTCCCAAGGTAGGCATTAAAAAAGTGGCATCCTGGTGGGTAGTATCATACATTAGATAGTTGCCCTTCTCCTAATCTAAGTCAATATTTCACTGTGGCTCAGTCAGATATGCAGCACCAGACTTAGAAAAGTGATTACTGTGATTGTCAAATGTATTTGACAATGTATTTGACAAATGTATTTGACAATCAACTCAATGTCTCCATTTTTTGTTTGCACTTCAAAACTTTTCATTGTCTCTATGTATTATGTGATGTTATATATGGTTCACTTTAATTAACAGATAACACTAACATAGGGCTTAAGTTTCAAGTGGTAGCACCTTCACCTTCCATCTGAAAAACCTCCGTTTGATCTTGTCACAAATGGAAATGTTCGGCATGTTTCTTTACACCTGTTGCCCACATTTACCTAGAAGTACTGTACCTGGGCTTTAGCAGACAATGGTGGGTTCCATTCTGGGAAGATCTAAGGACCCCAATGGAAATAAGCCAGACATAGTGGCTTTACTGGGTTATCTCAAGCTACTAACCCTCCAGGCTAATAATCCCTCAGAGGTTCCTTGATGCTGGTGAGGAACTCTTGATCCAAGGAATTGAACTTGTCCTCCCCTTCCTTGAATCAAATCTGATTGCCACTCATTCCATAAGTGCTGTATGATCCTATGAATTTAGCACCTCCCTTCAATTTAACAATAATGCAGGTTAATAATCCAAATGAAATCTAAAAATTGCAAACAAACTCCATTTTCAAACACTGACTAAATAGTTTGGAGACAGTATGAAAGAAATTGCCTTAGGCTTTGAAAGACAGGTTATAGATGGAGCTCAATTCTGAAATAAGCCAAGGTGGGATATCTCAAAGTTTAAATTACTATTAAAAAATGTTATAACAATAAAGTGCAAAAACAAGCTATATAATGGTCCCCACATACAAAAGAAAAAAAAAACAGATGCTGATAGGATAAGGCAGCTGAAGGTAAATCATGCTTACGAAATTGCTAAGTGTTCAGAATATTTCACTGCAAATTTTGTCAAGGTTAGGAACCAAAACTAGTATGGCATTAGAGGAGAGTGAACACAATTTTGTAACACATACAACAGGCGGCCAGGACTCAAACACCTACTATACAGCAGTAAAAGAATGGGACGGACTGCCTGACCATTTCAAGGACAGTCTCAGCATATGCCAGTTTAGGAAAATAACTAAAAAGTACTTATTGAATAAAGCCATAGAAATGGAGTAATGTGATTTCTTGTAGAGCTAATATTTAACTTATACTTTTTTTTTCTAATGCTCATGTAATTCATTCTCGTGAATTTTATTTCTATTTTATCAATTCTTATTGTAATTCATTTTAATGCATTTAATTTTACTGTTAATAATCATGTATTTAATAGTTAAACTATTAAAAGTACATTATATCAGAGATCCCAATGGAAATACATCACAGTCCTACTTTTTTGGGTTATCCTCGGTAATGTACATCTACGTTATTATGCAAGATAATCATAATCATCCGAAAATAGTGTAAACTTATGCCTAAACAAACCATTTAAACTTGTAACATAAGTAAATACGTATACCTTAAGGGAATATAACCAAACTGACATAGCATATACGGCAGGGAAGCAGCGGGTATAATACCCCATTATAAAATCGATCATTTCCAAAAATCATTCCCCAAAAAAGGTAATATAATAACCTATAATCCGCTTAAAAGAGAATTAAAAAAACTGCATAGTTTATCATTATTATTACATCCGAGTTCTACTTGTCCATACCGGCGGTGAAGGGAAAACCTCTTAAACCCTCAGATAATGAAAGATCCTACCCAATTCCCCTAGCCATGACCACCAGCAACTCTGCCACATCATCTACATCACACAACTAACACCACCAGTACATTTTACCTTCGCTACAGTGGAAATTCTGCTCAATATTGAAGCCTGCATCTTTCTGTCTGGCTGGACGTCGTCAGCTCAGCTGGGCGCGGTGTTAATTCCTACACTAAAATCTTCTAAAATATATTTAACCTCGTACGATATATATCTGGTGCACTTTTATCCCCATTGTTTAAATTTACAGTCTATTCTCAGTCGATTTATTAAGGTGAATTACTATACTGACTGAGTGTGTGATGGTACGGAAATCTTTATTATTGGAACTGAGTCAGGGAGGCTATTACCACGGTGTGGTGGAACAATTTTGTACTATTTTCACGGTATTACGGTGGAGTGGAACAAATCAGTACTACTGTCACGGTACCACGGTGCAGTGGAACAAATCAGTACTACTGTCACGGTACCACGGTGCAGTGGAACAAATCAGTACTACTGTCACGGTACCATGGTGCAGTGGAACAATTCTGTACTATTTTCACGGTGCAGTGGAACAAATCAGTACTGTCACGGTACCACGGTGCAGTGGAACAAATCAGTACTACTGTCACGGTACCACGGTGCAGTGGAACAAATCAGTACTACTGTCATGGTACCACGGTGCAGTGGAACAAATCAGTACTACTGTCACGGTACACGGTGCAGGGGAAAACAAATCAGTACTACTGTCACGGTACCACGGTGCAGTGGGACAAATCAGTACTACTGTCACAGTACCACGGTGCAGTGGAACAAATCAGTACTACTGTCACGGTACCACGGTGCAGTGGGACAAATCAGTACTACTGTCACGGTACCACGGTGCAGTGGGACAAATCAGTACTACTGTCACGGTACCATGGTGCAGTGGAACAATTCTGTAATATTTTCACGGTGCAATAGAACAAATCAGTACTACTGTCACGGTACCACGGTGCAGTGGAACAAATCAGTACTACTGTCACGGTACCACGGTGCAGTGGAACAAATCAGTACTACTGTCATGGTACCACGGTGCAGTGGAACAAATCAGTACTACTGTCACGGTACCACGGTGCAATGGAACAATTCTGTACTATTTCCACGGTGCAGTGCAACAAATCAGTACTATTGTCACGGTACCACGGTGCAGTGGAACAAATCAGTACTACTGTCACAGTACCACGGTGCAGTGAAACAATTCAGCACTATTATCACGGTGCAGTGGAACAAATGGTTGTGGCTCGTACGTTGGTTTGCGTGCAGCCAGCAGCAACAGCCTGGTTGATCAGGCTCTGATCCACCAGGAGGCCTGGTCACAGACCGGGCCGCGGGGGCGTTGACCCCCGGAACTCTCTCCAGGTAACTCCAGTACTACTGTCACGGTACCACGGTGCAATGGAACAATTCTGTACTATTTTCACGGTGCAGTGGAACAAATCAGTACTACTGTCACGGTGTAGTGGAACAAATCAGATAAGTATTCTTTAGATAGTCAATGAAATCATGAATATCACTATTTACTCAATAAAATTGGCCAATTGGGACTTATGCCAGCCAATGACAGCGTGAAATTTGTAGTCAGGAAACTACACCAGAGGCGAAAATTTAAAGCCATTTATGACATAGACTCCAACGGGTCCCATTTCTTGTGTTCTGTTACTAAATCATCAAATCTCCTTACATGCAAAGTAAGCTTAATGGTTACTTTTCTGGTCCTAAGATGTCTCAGAAGAGGTAAACAAAATTATTTGACGTGATTTAATGGAATACAAATTTCTCATTTGTTTACACATAAAATGGTCAAATTTGCTCCTACACAGCTGAATTTCACTCTCCACCATCGTCGAATTTCTTATCGTTTTTTCTCAGCATTTGAAGCTCCGCCACTGAGGATTTTGGAAACTATCTGAGTCATTTCAAGATGCTGTGAATGTGTTCAGTAACTTTGGTCACAGGGAACGTGAACATGCCAGCTGTGCCCAGAATTTAATCCTCGTTACCGTGCATAAATGATGAAAATTTGAAGCCGGTTGGATGAGGTTTTCTCGATTTATAGGCAAAATAAAATCGACAATTGGTTAGTTAGTTTAATATGTTTATTATGCACCCCATACCCATCCTGTGGGCGGTAGTCAAATGATTACAGAGGTACATAATTGGTCCAGGGACTGGACTCCAAAGTTTAGATATTAATATGTTTATTATGCACCCCATACCCATCCTGTGGGCGGTAGTCAAATGATTACAGAGGTACATAATTGGTCCAGGGACTGGACTCCAAAGTTTAGATAGCTGAGCAAGTTATAGAAGTAATGAACTCACAATTTACAAAGGTAATGAACTCACAATTTACAAAGGTAATGAACTCACAATTTACAAAGGTAATGAACTCCAGGTAGGTCTGGTCACAATCATGACAAGTTACAAAGGTATTTACAGATTACAGAGGTACGTAATGGGTCCAGGGACTGGGCCCCCAAAGTTCTGATTGCTGAACTAGGTACAAAGGTAATGAACTCACAAGTTACAAAGGTAATGAATCCTGTAAGAATGGTTACTTACGTTTATACATGGCTACAATCATGAACAAATTGTAGAAGAGTAATGAGCAATTCACACTTCCACACCCGGTCACAACTGTAATGAGTTATTGGTGCAAATATTGATTGTTGAGTCACACACACACACACACACACACACACACACACACACACACACACACACACACACACACACACACACACACACACACACACACACACACACACACACACACACACACACTCATACACAAACTCATACGCACACACGCACATACACTCATACACACACACACACACACACACTCATACACACACACACCATACACACACACACACACACACACACACACACCCCACACACACACACACACACACACACACATAACACACACACACACACACACACACACACACACACACACACCACACACACTCATACACACACACACACACACACACACACACACACACTCATACACACACACACACAAACACACGGGGCCAGGAGCTCGGATTCGACCCCCGCAACCTCAACTAGGTGAGTACAACTAGGTGAGTACACACACACAAACACACACACACACACAAACACACACACAAGCACACACACACACACACACACACACAAAAGTTGATGAGAAGAGTTCAGTCGATCGAAGACCAGGCAGAACTACAAAGGGATCTGGATAGGCTGCAGACCTGGTCCAGCAACTGGCTCCTGGAGTTCAATCCCACCAAGTGCAAAGTCATGAGGATTGGGGAAGGGCAAAGAAGACCGCAGACGGAGTACAGTCTAGGGGGCCAGAGACTACAAACATCACTCAAGGAAAAAGATCTTGGGGTGAGTATAACACCAGGCACATCTCCTGAAGCGCACATCAACCAAATAACTGCTGCAGCATATGGGCGCCTGGCAAACCTCAGAACAGCATTCCGACATCTTAATAAGGAATCGTTCAGGACCCTGTACACCGTGTACGTTAGGCCCATATTGGAGTATGCGGCACCAGTTTTGGAACCCACACCTAGCCAAGCACGTGAAGAAACTAGAGAAAGTGCAAAGGTTTGCAACAAGACTAGTCCCAGAGTTAAGAGGTATGTCCTATGAGGAGAGGTTAAGGGAAAATCAACCTGACGACACTGGAGAACAGGAGAGATAGGGGGGACATGATAACGACATACAAAATACTGAGAGGAATTGACAAGGTGGACAAAGACAGGATGTTCCAGAGATTGGACACAGTAACAAGGGGACACAGTTGGAAGCTGAAGACACAGATGAATCACAGGGATGTTAGGAAGTATTTCTTCAGCCACAGAGTAGTCAGTAAGTGGAATAGTTTGGGAAGCGATGTAGTGGAGGCAGGATCCATACATAGCTTTAAGCAGAGGTATGATAAAGCTCACGGCTCAGGGAGAGTGACCTAGTAGCGATCAGTGAAGAGGCGGGGCCAGGAGCTCGGACTCGACCCCCGCAACCTCAACTAGGTGAGTAACACACACACACACACACACACACACACACACACACACACACACACACACGTGGTAATGCATTATTTACAGCTAGCAAAGTCAGGGTATTTCTCCAGAATGGTCTGTAATATACCACTGTGGATAAAATACTTTGCCATTTCTTGAACACTTCTGAGTGAGTTGTTTCTAAATTCATTAATTTTATCGCACTCCAGTACATAATGACGCAGGGTGTGACAATAGTCCATCTGGCAAAGTTTACATTTCGTTTGGTCTACATCTGGTGGTGGTGATTTAACCTGCCGAAGATACTTGTAACCCAGCCGGAGCCGGGCGGTAGTGACATCCAAGAGTCTGCTTATTTTGTTGGATGCACCATAGACATGTGGCTCCTCCTGCGTGATAGAATGATGATAGATGGACTGACTGGTGTCAATCTCCCTGAGCCTTAAGTCCATAAAATTCAACTGAAGTTCTTTTCGTATTATTGTTCTCAAACTACTACCTGACAAGCCAAGATTGTAATCTACCCCCTCTTTGAAAGCATACAGCTTAGCCAATTTATGAGTTCTATCATGCATCTGAAGACCAATGTGAGATGGAATCCACAGCATGTGCACTCTGACTCCACTGTCCACAATCTTACCATACCTGTGTCTGGCTTCTGACACAAGCATGCCACAATTTATACTTAATGAGTTGAGAGCATTTATGGATGACAGAGAATCAGTTACAATTAAACTGTCAATCTTAGATACATAGATGCATTTCAGTGCAAGGAGTATGGCAAACAGTTCTGTCTGAAGTGTAGAGGCCCAATTATTGATGCGTGCTCCAAATTCTTTAAGAGAGCCATCACTCTGTACGACAACAGCAGCACTACCAGCTGCACCAGTGGATTGGTGAACAGAACCATCAACGTAAATAATTTGCGAGAGTGTGTGCTGTGTGACTAAGTTATCAATACAGCTTAAGGCATCATGTTTGGCTTCAAGGCGAAGTTTTGGTTGTGATTTAAAAGTAGTTTGGGGGGAAATGGAGGAATGGTAGATTGGAATGGGGTAATATCCCATGGCAATTGGAAGACAAACAAATTCAGTTTATCCTCTTAAAGGTATCCCTTCTGAGAATCTCAGTAATTACTTTGCTTTACAAGAATGTTAAAGTTTGCAATCTTTG